GCCATTTTGTCAGGCAGTTTCGGTTTGATTTTCACGAAATTCGAACTCAACCACCATTAGGGTGTAACGGCGATATATTTGAACGGATAAAAATTGAAACCTATAGAGTATCATCAAGCTCAAAACGTAAATTTTAGGGTGTGCTATGAGGGACATTTTGTCCGGACAGCGGCGCTACGACTTACTCTTATATCAAATTCTAACGTCAACTGTCATTATGGTGTAACGGTGATATTATATTCCAATGGATTTTAAAATCAGATAAAATCGTGACCTCTAGAGGATCCAAAAGCTATAAACACGATTTTTCGTACAATCAAGGGCCATAATAATAATACATTAAGTTACGGTCCGATATGCGCCAATATCGAAAGGAACCGTCAACTATGGGTTATTAACATACATTTTAAGTTTCATCAAAACCCGATAAATATTGTGAACTCAAAGAGTTTCCACAAGCTAAAATAAAAACATGAAGTTACGGTCCGATACATGCCAATATCGAAATGAACCGAGATCTTTTGAATATAGACCTATGTATCAAGTTTCAGCAAAACGGATAAAAACTGTTACCTGTCGACAGTCCACAACCAAATTGTGGGCGGACGGATATGTGCGACGAGAATATACGTCCACGTGAAAATGTGGGCACATAAAAATTAGTGATTAGTAATTTATAAGCCCCTAAAAATCAAAATAAGGTACTTAAGGGAAAAGGTGATTTAAGGGAATAGGAATATGTTCAAAATAAAGATGAAAGAAATCATTTGAATTTGCAACTAGAAAATGTTCAAAGTAATCAAGTAGAAAAGGAAATCAGGTTTGAAACAAAAGTAGGTAAGACGTGTACTGATTACGTGACGTATGGGCAGTTTCCATACAACTCTTGTCATTAGCAACATCTGTTACGAATGTAAACGAGATAATTAGGACTGTCCTTGAAGGTATTGCCCATACAGGAAGCTATAACATCTACCCTCAACTTCAACAATTAAGTCATCTCAGACCGAGCCACAGACTATTAGTCAAATTCAAACAACAGAAACTTTATTACATGAATCAGACACCACTTTTCACTTTGATGGCACCGGAAGACGAATTAACGAGTTTTCAAACTATTATAAAAGATAAACACACATTTTCACAGGTTTCAGGCCTTGCAAACTCTTATTTAGAAACATTAAACAAACTCTTATTTAGAAACATTAAACAGTCTTTTATCTGAAATATTAAGTACAATAACTGATGATGTACGGGTAAATAAACAAAAGACGTTTGTTTCTTTTATGCTGTCTAATGAAACAAACAAGCCAACAGTGAGGCTGATGTCCCCCGCCGAAATAGGAAAATAATTAGAGAGTTATTGTGTTCCAAAGTCTCAGCAAATCAAATTGCTTATCGCTCTGCTTAATCTGAGCAGAAAATGCTCATTATCGATCTTAGTCAAGGTATTACTGTAATGAAACTATACACCAAGTTTCATCACTCTCACTTAATTAGAACTAAAGTTATAGTGTCCCAAAGCATCAACCAATCAAATTGTTTATCTCTGCTTACCCTAAGCGGAACGGACAGACAAACAGACAGACGGACGAACCCATTTTAATAGTTCCCTGCTTTCTTCGAAAGGCGGGGGACAATAAGCATGAACATTTACTCAATTCGAAGATCAACCAATCAAATTGTTTATCTCTGCTTACCATAAGCGGAACGGACAGACAGACAAACAGACAGACGGACGAACCCATTTTAATAGTTCCCTGCTTTCTTCGAAAGGCGGGGGACAATCAAAGTAGGAGAGTTATTGTTTTCCAAAGTCTCGACCAATCAAATTGCGTATCGCTCTGCTTACCCTGAGCAGAAAATGCTCATTATCAAACTTAGTCAAGGTATTACTGTAATGAAACTATACACCAAGTTTCATCAATCTCACTTAATTAGAACTAAAGTTATCGTGTCCCAAAGCATTAACCAATCAAATTGCTTATCTCTGCTTACCCTAAGCTGAAAATGCTCATCTTCGAACTCCATCAAGGCATTGACCTAATCAACACATACACCAAGTTTGAACATTCTAGCTCAATTAGGAAGAGAGTTATCGTGCCCCAAAGTATCAACCAATCAAATTGCTTATCTCTGCTTACCCTAAGCGGAAAATGCTCATCTTCGAACTCCATCAAGGCATTGACCTAATAAACACATACACCAAGTTTGAACATTCTAGCTCAATTAAAAGTTATCGTGTCCCAAAGCATCAACCAATCAAATTGCTTATCTCTGCTTACCCTAAGCGGAAAATGCTCATCTTCGAACTCCATCAAGGCATTGACCTAATCAACACATACACCAAGTTTGAACATTCTAGCCCAATTAGGAAGAGAGTTATCGTGTCCCAAAGCATCAACCAATCAAATTGCTTATCTCTGCTTACCCTAAGCGGAAAATGCTCATCTTCGAACTCCATCAAGGCATTGACCTAATAAACACATACACCAAGTTTGAACATTCTAGCTCAATTAGGAAGAGAGTTATTGTGTCCCAAAAAGTGTGACGGACAGACAGACGGACAGACAGAAGGACAGACAGACGGACAGACAGACAGACAGACAGACGGACGAACCCATTTTAATAGTCCCCTGCTTTCTTCGAAAGGCGGGGGACAATTATTATGACTGGTCGTCATAGAGTTTTAAATCGTTTGAATAATCAAGGGGTGGAACCTGTAGATCACACTAGCCCCAGTTTTCAGATTAGGCAAGTATGATTCAAATCGCTGGTACATACCATGGACTTCATGTGATATCTAATTTAGATGCCATTGCTTCAAAATCATTAAAAATAAACGAAGAGATAGCTCTTGAAACTCGGTCAAAGTTAACGCTAGAACGTTTGATTTGGTTTTTGAAGCCTCGCAGACTTTTACACGTACTGGTAATCCGTGATCTTGTTGCGCCGAGAACTTGACAGATTAACTTGTCAATGGAAAAATCACATTATTTCATTTCTTCATCATCGTTTTAATGTCCGTTTTATAGATGGTGTTGCAATGTTTTATCATAGAAATCACATTCCGGATATTTTAAATGGTTTTAAATGTTAGTTAAAATGAACCTCCAGCTTTAAAGAAAGTGAGTAATATATTTAAGGTTATGAAGATAATGCAATGTCATCATTTTAAGTTCAGTCATAGCTATCTATATATAAATCAACACGAATATGATAACACTATGGGTGATTACTATTGTAAACTTATACGTGGAAATTGTTATCTTTTCATTCAATACGTATCATTTCAAGTTTAGTAATAGCTATTTATAAATGAAAATGTCATAGGGTTTGGACAGTGATAACTATGTGTATATAGTTGATAACTAACTAGTAGTTAATAAAAAAAAGTAGATTATGGATGAAATACGGTTTAAGTGCTACATGAACCGGGCTAAAAGAGACGGACATACGCCCTGCGTTGTTATATGAAAGTGATTTGGTGCATTAAATGACTTAAACATGCATCAGGCAGGAGCTAATTCTGCCCATTGTGGATCTTTCTTTAGGCCTTAAATGTTATATAAACTATTAATAAGAAGTTTATTAATATGACAAGCCTATTATCAACTCTATGGACAATCGGGTGTTTTTCATTTTCAACGGATAAATTTGGTCGACATTTTCAACATATTTCCTTTACGTTATCCAGCTCTTTATCTAAATCTTACATAATGCATCTCTACTTCGCGTAAACCCGGTCTTCACTTAACACTGAATATTAATAGGATTAATTGTCCTCTCATGAATGCTTCACACCAAATTTGAAAAAGAATATGTAGCCCCCATTGCATTCAAAAGATGTACGAAAGTTCCCAGAACGCTGATTATCGACAGGCTTTTAATGGATGAAAATCTATCTTCGTTGAACACTTGGCGTGTTCAGATAAATCAAGTTTCGAAAAATAATGTCTTAAACGATGGTATGTCTTCAAGTAAAATAGTAGACTTCTTGGAATATCAATGCAACAAGTCTGAAGATTCACAGGGTGATTATAGAGGGGTAGATTACAGGCAGTCACATAGCATTGGCTAAATGCACGTGGCAGCCTTTTCAGATTAATATCTCTTGATATAATCTTTGGTTCATTGTTTTAAATAAATTAATTACCCTCATCAATTAAGTTGGCTACCATCTTGAAAGAGTTATGTCTACCAATACTGTATTTCCTCTTTGAAGCAGAACTAAATGATTAACTAAATCTAATGGATGTCAATTAGGCCCTAAGCACCAAGACCATGGCAGGTTTAGACCCGACGTGACCGCTACTGACTAATCAGATGTGTTCGATGAGTTAAAACTTAATCTCATCGGGATCAGGATCTTTGGGTTATGAACATACATGTCAAGTTTCATCTATATCGGATAGACGTGGGTGTCCACAAGCTAAAAACGTGTTTTTTCGTACATTCAGGGGCAATAGTCCATGCCAATAGCGAAAGGAGCTGCATGAGAGCTTTTGTACATAAATCTACATGTCAAGTTTCGTCAAAATCGGATAAGGATTGTGACCTGTAGAGTGTCCACAACTGATGGGCTGGGCAACAATATACATCAACACGAAAAGAAAGCTATGTACATAAGTTTAAAATACAACACCGACAATTGGGTTGAGATGCAGAAAACTCTTTTCATAAAGAAAAAACGAAGCAATGTCACAAAGTTGCTTTTTCTTGAGAAGATCGGTTACCAAACAGACTGAAGAACAAATCTGGTTCCGTGCACACGAATCAAAACCATACCGTAATACAATTTACAACCCCTCTTGGAGAGATATAAACTTTGGGGTTCTCGAGACTGTAAAATGACCCAGAATCTTAAGTGAATCAAAGTACGCTGTCCCGATTTCTTATCTAAGTTAATAAACAATTTGTCACGTGGAATTTCATCAATAACCAGTATAAAATGCGAGACTTACTATGATAAAATTGTATCGTTGGAAAGGTACATATATTTTAGGTTCAACTGATAAACTAAGAAATCAGTTCAAAATGATGTTAATCGTGTTTGCAACATTGGCTGCTTTTGCTGGTGCCGAGCCAACGAAACCTGGATGCTGTGTGCCACCCCAGTGGGAAGGAAGGCAAGGCTCCATAATTGGAACGGTTACTAAAGGCTCTACGTCTGTAACCAATGTAAGTATTATTTTCATTTAGATCCCGATTAACCATATAATAACACTAGTAATCTGATACCATTGACTTATGAAACTGGACTATTTTGTAATGACAATATTTGTCATTAAATCAAATAAGTGGTCATTGTTATAAACTAATGTTTAGTATGTATAGAAAGTGGTTAGGAATTAGCAGGTAAATAATTAGCTGCAAAAGAACTCACTACTGCTAACCCGAGCAGAAAATGCTCATTACCAAACTTAGCCAATGTTTTAGTGAATTAGAACCAAATTTATCGTGTCCCAAAGTATTATCCAGTCAAATTGCATATCTCTGCTTAGCCTAAGCATAAATTGCCCGTCGTCTATTGAACGCCTACACGAAGTTTGAACATTCTACCTGAATTATGTTCCAAAGTCTCGACCACTCAAATTATTTATCGCTCTGCTTACCCAGAGTCGAAAATGCTCATTATCGAACTTAGTCAAGTTCCATCACTGTGACTTAATTGGAACTGAAGTTAACGTGTCATATTCACCTACATCAAATGTGAACATTCTATCTTAATTAGGAGAGTTATTATGTCCCAAAAAGTGTGACGGACAGTCAGACAGACGGACAAACATAACCATTTTAATAGTCCCTTGCATTATTCGAAAGACGGGGGGTGGGGGCAATAAAAATTCTAGTAATAAAGCATGCAAGAGCTAAATCTGCCTATTTAGTTCTTAAATGTTACATAAACTATCAATTAAAAATGTATTAACATGACAAGACAATAACCAAGTCTAGATACCATTGGATAGGTCCGATTTTAAGTATCTTAGGACAGTTCAGACATTTAATGATCTAATCTGAAGCGAGGCTAAGCTTCGAACAACCAGTACAGTAGTTACAATCGGTGCACTTAACTTGTCAACCCTTCCAAGGCTAATGTCTTCGCTCAGAATGAAGTAATTTGAAGAAACTTTGAATATATGCATTTTGCACTACTGTTATATTAAGAATTTTAGATGAATCTTACATGGTGTATCTATCTGTAAGTGAATTGTATATTATTCACGTTTCCCGATAGCCTGCATGCATATTCCAACCGTGGGTAGTTCTTTGGACCAAATATATCTGTGTAGTCAATTCGACCATATATATATATATATAACGAACAATATAATATGACATATCAATAGATTTATAATGATGGTATATGCATATTTCAGGCCAACTATTTTATGTCATACGACGAAACCAACCAAAGATTATATTACGAAACAGAAACTGAGACAGAAGGCGTGACACAATATTTAAAAATCATACAAAATTATGCAAAGGTAATCGTAGTTTCATCAGCTGGTCTTGGCGCATTACTAATTCAATATTAATTCGGAGATTTATTTGTTATATACGTGCAATTTATCTTATTAGCAACACCAGTATACATTCAAATTATTTTAAAATTGAATCTAGCATTCACATCTAGTCTTCAAACTTATTGGATACATCGTACATCTTTTCATAAAGCCTGTCACCCTTTGATATGCTAGTCTCTCTTTTTCAATTTTCAACCCAGGGAATGCAATACGTTATTGATCTTCAAAAGCAAAACTGTTCATCTTTCCCGATTGGTGAACAATTCCAAAAGATTTGCTTGCCAGGTAAGAAAATTTATAACACATAGTTCAGCTAGTTGGTGGTAGTATGTTAAACCCTATTTCATTTCATTTACTTCATAAGTTTGGATATATCCTTACTCTTATAAACGGTTCAGTTAAACAGGGGTGGATTAAGGGATGTCGTAGATCAGATTTAGAGCCATTTGAGGAATGACCAGACACCGAATTCAGAGCCCTGCACATTCATCTAATACGGCTACTTCAAGAAGGATACGAAAACAGTAATTCAGGAGTATTATAGACGCCGCCTTTGTCGAATATAACTATTGTATGCCCACGAGATTCGATTTAATGTCGTATTTGTAGTGTTAAATGAATAGAATTATTTCTTTGAGTGGAATTTGTATTATATTTACCGAGGTAAATTCATATTTGGAAATGTGAATGCACGTGTCAAACTATACTACAAAATAACATCCACATCTACTATGAATTTTTCCTTTTACTGGCTTATTTCTCTCTGGTCACAGACACATATCTATTCATACCTGGTGAAGTAATCTGTCGGAGTTTGCATTGATACCAATATTAATTTAAGAAGGAAAGGCAATGCAAACACCTAACGTAATTGTGTTTGGAGTATCTACCTTTAAAGTGATAACTTGTATGGATTGACGATTCATATGATAGATGCATGTACATTTGTTTATTTCTAGCCAATGCAACATTAGCCGGAAAGATATATTTCGGTATTGGCACTAATCGGTTTGATGCAGTCTCATATACATATTATACTCATGGAACTAACGTAACTGTGGTAGGAACACCTGATGATTGTATTCCTGTAATAGATGTTCTTAGGGTGAAAGACAGTAGTATGGGAAGTAAGTGTTCTCGTTTTGATAATTATCAATGTACATATATTGTTGTCAACGTATGGCCAGATTCACCTAATTCATTCCTTGTGCATTATTAGGGTTCTTTTCTTTAATGACAAGAATATCCGCGTAGTAATCCTTGCTCATGTCGTAAGCTGTATATCTATATAAATAAAATCAAAGATCTTTGTGTGCATGTTCGCCGTGATCCACCCCCACATGTGGTATCAAATTAACCAGAATGACCCCGTGAATGTTTAGACTATGATTCCGTTCAATGTGGGTCCCGGGTGAAGCAGGGTATCCCACTTAGTATATAATACTTTTAAAAATGCTAGTTCATATTAATATTCTTTCTTTCCGGATTTGCTTTCCGGCATAAATTTATTCATAGGCGAGCTAATAAAAATCTGAAGTAATGACCCCTATTCCTATATAGCTGGAAAGAAATCAAGTCTTTTTTCCCGATCTTATGTTTTTTTGTTGGATATTTCTGATTTTGTACATTATAGCCGCACAGATGACATTCACTGGATTTGTTGATCTTACAGTGGGTATTCGCGATCCATCTATATTTAATGTTCCGTCTATATGTAAACAGGTATTACAAGACTTTAATTCATCGATTGTTCGAAGCTATTATTTTCTCATTTCGAAGCTTCATTGGTACTTATCTTTATTTAGTTTCAAAACACATTGTGTAAGTTCTAATTTTGATAGTCCAAAATAAATAATTATTGAATTACCAATTCAGTATTCTTTTGCTGCCATTTCCTAAATCTCCAGTATTTGTTGAAACAATAGTTTGTCCTCTCAAACCCCGACTGCCCAGTTTTGACTTGAACCGTGTATTCCACCAGTGAACAGTAATAAAACCGGGACCGCATTGTGGACGGGTATCAATGAACAAGCCGCATCTATAACTGTCTTTGTTTTCTTTTATTCCAGGTGGACCCTTCAATATTTAAGTCTATTACAAGGAAAGGAGGTTTTTTCAGATTCTAGACAAACAGCATCAGTATCTTCTACCATAAAGATACAAACACTAAAGTTCATAAATAAATTTGTAGTTATGGTAAAGTTTTTTTTTTGTTTTTCGGTGTACATTTATCAGATTCACCTAAAATGTCACAGGAAAGAAAAAATGTACCACCCTTGAATAAAAGGGCATTCATTCAACCATCGGAATTTATCAGAAAAAATACGAAAATAGCTTCCGATTCTGGAAACCCTGAATCCCACATGTTCCTGAAGCAACGACTGAGTTTTATAACATCTGGGCGTTGCTAGATTATTTCACAATTCTCGAACTTATAGCGACGTTACCTACAGACACAATAACAGTAGCGCCCAATCAGAGGTTGTGACATCGCGACCTCCACGGAAACCTTGACATTAAACGAACCTTGAACTTTGCAACTACAGGTAGACATTTTAGCTTGATAGCGCGAGACTTGGTATTCAACAGGCCAACCGTGAGGCCGAAATCCCAAAATAAAGAGATGACACATTAATTGCACATTTTTTTTTTCAAAAGTATCGAGCAATCAAACTATACACTAAGTTTCGTCACTCTCTATCAGATAGAATCAAGATTATCTTGTTCCAAAGCATCGACCTATGAAATTGAATAGCTCTGCTTAGCTTCAGCTCGAAATGTTAATCATTGAACTCAGTCAAGACATTCAACTAATGAGCATCTACATCAAGTTTAAACATTCTACCTCAATTATAAGCAGGGTTGTTCCAAAGTCTTGACCAATCAAATTGCTTATCGCTCTTTAGCCTAAGCAGAAAATTCTCATCATCGAACTTAGTCAAGGTAATGATATAATGAATCTATATTCGCTGTTTCATCGCTCTCAATTCATTATAACCAAGGTTATCGTGTCCCAAACCATTAACCAATCAGATTGCTTATCGTAAGCAGACAATGTTCATCATCGATCTCCATCAAGGCGTTCACCGAATGAACGCCTACACCAAGTTTGAACATTCTACCTCAATTAGAAGGAGAGTTTTTGTGTTCCAAAGTCTCGACCAATTAAATTGCTTATCGCTCTGTATACCCACAGCAGAAAATGTTCATTATCGAACTTAGTCATGGTATTATCCTGAGCAGAAATTTTATATATATATATATATATATATAAATAAAAAAATCCGTCCAGATAAAAAAATATATATATATTATAGAAAAGTAGGAAACAATTGTCCAACGAAAGTTGGGATCAAATCGTCAAAGTCCACTACTCTAGATTCCTTCAACCAGTCGCAATACACTAGTTTCGCTAGTTAGACAGTCGAGTCTATCAACGTGGCCCTCCACATGAGTTATCTTAACCCCGATCGTCTAACTAGCGAAACTGGGAATCAAGCAATGATATAATTATAAACCAGCGGTTGCCAGGCAAGACACGGCCATATTTGGCAAGAGATAGACTGAACAAGCTAAATAAGCGATTTTATCTAAAATCAGGGGCAATAACCAAGGAAGTTACAATCCGATGGCGATACTCGCAAGTATCAAAACATCCCAGATCTTTGGCATATAAACATATTTTAAGTTTCATTGAATACGGATAAATAAAAAAATGTGACCTCTACATGGTCCACAACCTATTTGCGTACGAGGATTGGCCATTGTCAGTCCGATGTTCATGAAACTCGAACTCAACTGTCATGATAGTGTAACGGTGATAAATTTAAACGTTTTTTTCATCGGGTAAAACTTGTTACCTCTGGGAGAACAAGCGAAAACACGATTTTCATACATTCATTGGCCATAATCCAGAAAGTTACGGTTTCATATCCGCGAATATCGACAGGAACCGACATCGTTGGGATATAATCATATATTTTAAGTTTCATCAATATCGGATACAAATTGTGACCTCTAGAGAGGGTCCACAACTTGGTATTACATACTTTTACACTATTTGCGTACAAGGAGCAGCCATTTTGTCCGGGAGTTTCGGTCAGATTTTCACTCATTCGTCATTAGGTTGTAACACTGAATCGGATAAAAATTGTGACCTTCGTACAATCAGGAAGTTGCAGTCCGATATGCGTGAATATCGAAAGGAATCAAGATCTTTGGGTAGTAAACATACATTTTCAGTTTCTTCAAAATCGGATAAAAATTCTGACATCAAGGTGTCGACAAGCTACAAAAGTGATTTTCATTCAAACAGGGGCCATATTCCATGAAGTTACGGTCCGATAAAAATATATCGAAAGGAACCGAGATATATCGGATAGAAATTGTGATCTCTAGTGTCCATAAGCTAAACACTTGATTTTTCGTACAATCAGGGACTATAATCCATAAATTTTCATTAGCAACCACTTTACAGACCTAATAAATACAACCTTAAGTATGAAAAAAAAAATGGTAAAATGCATCACTATGGTTTATTACACTGCGATGTTCTATCACGATTTCACAAGTGGGTATGAAGCATATACACATAAATAAATAAAAAGCTTTCATTCTTCGAGTATGTCTGGTTTGTGACACACAATATCTTTATATTTATTATCAACAAATTTTCTGACGTGTTTGTAGAGATAGTTAAGTCTTTCACTGGAAAGTCCCAAAGGGTCAATTGAAATTGGATCACCATTGGAAAATTTAATTTTCGGAAACCATGAATAAAACGACTTTTCATCACTTTCTGAGTCCTGTTCAGCAAAACTGTCTCTGGGCGATGAGCATCAAATCTGAAAAGATAAAAAGTATAATTAATATACTGACCTTACATCAATTTGTAGAGGTTTAGATTAAAATAAACAAAGAGATAGTTGTGATATAGTAACACACAAACTCAAAAAACATTTTGAGACTAGAAAGTTATTACAAATGGAAGTACTAGTACTGAAAATAATATATAACTCATAAATTGAAAGTTAAAAAATATATGTGTTAGGTGATAGCTAAATAGATTTATCCGTGAGAATTTCTCGAGGAACAAGGTTTGATAATGGTTTCTGATAGAATGGGCCCTAGGGAAGATGTATGTAGTTTGCTACCTCTAAAACCTACGGGATAACCCCGGGAGAGCCGAAAATCCAAAATGACGGCCAAAAATTGTCTGAAATTGACCTTGGCAAACAGTGTTGGCGAACTGACCTGTGTAATATACCATAAATAAAATAAAACTAAGTACGAACAATCCAAACCATAAGACAGAATTCGAAATCCTAAAAAACGTTATAGGCAAAATAGTGTATTATAGGTTTTGGTGGTCACCGGGCCCATTTTGACAGTTTCGAAACCATCTCACAACATGGCCGTCGTCTGGTTTTTCGGCTCTCCCAGCAAACTACAAATATCTTCGTTAGGGTCCCTTTTATCTGAAACCAGAATGTTAAAACCCATTTCATTTTATTTCATACTACCCAGAAATGGTTGTAAGACTTCATTCCTTGCAGTGCTTTACAATAACCATTACAAATGAAGAGGCACTACTGTTACAAACAGGTACTACTGTCTTTCCGTCTTCTCTGCCAATTGATGAACTGTCATTCACTACATCTACAAGCAAACTCTGAGATGACACTTGAATGCTTTCTTCAGAAGTCCAAAGCACCAGTCAGGCGCAAAATTAGTATTCCCGGAAATAAGGAAACCCAGTGTTATGAACTTGTGCAAACCAACTGCTACTCCATCTAAAATATCGCCTGTCCAACCTCCTGGGTTTTCTCCAGGTCCCCCGGTTTCCTAACACTGCTAAAGACCCCTACACACAAGCGAATTATTGAAATAAAAAAAAAGAACCATATGTAAGTCCCGAAATGACCTAGTTTGTGTCGAGTGGACGGTAAACCCCATTTCTCTTCCTCTCTCACAGGCAGTTTTTGTTTTGTCCAGATTGCATGGAATGATTGGTGAAAGTTCCTAAATGCCATGTTCTTGGCAAGTCTTTTCCTTTGTGTACCATATCGTTGTACATCAATCTTTCACAATGAACGATCTCAAGTTGCTTTTCCTAGAGTTAGATGCGCTCGCATTTCTCTGCCTCGTTCACATTGGCACTCTTGAAGATCAAACTATTGTATTTCTGGCACGTCCTGCATAGATCAGTCATGGGCTTGCATATTCCATTGAAAGGACACAGTTGCTTCCAAACGTCGCAAAAGTTGCTAGACCCCATAATACGGTGACCTGAAAATATCGAAAATTTATGATCAGTTGATTCTAGACGTCGCAAAAGTTACAAGACCCCATAATACGGTGTCCTCAAAATATCGAAAATTTATAATCAGTATCATAAAAAAACAACATTTCAATACAATAAACCCATAGCCAAGAAATGAACCCAGAAATCAATTTGCAAGGCATAAGATAGGTTAACCAACAATTCTAGATTGGTGTGTTGCTTTCCCAGTGAACTGTCGCTTTCTTTTATGATGGCCCCGTTACGATATGATAATAATAAAAACGGGGACGGTAGAAATCTCCGTATCCTTTATCTCAAACAATATCATTGATGCTTATGAGGGATTTTCGGTATGTGTGATGATGGTAGCAGTGAAATATCTGCTTAAATCCTGGCACTCGACTAGGAAGAATTAATGCATGTTCAGTGGCGTAATTTGTAAGGAACCGTGCAACCTTTTGGGTATCTTCAAAGCTAAACGAGTATTTGATTTCCACCTACCAGATTCCTTTTCTTTCGATGAAATACCATGCTCCCTGTAGTGTTGCGGTAGACCGTTAAGAATTAATTTTAATCAACGCCATCAACACAACCATGTCCATTTCACAAGTTAATTTTCAGAACGGAGGGAAAGTATGTTTGGTATAGTCCTAGAAAAACTGGAGACCGACATTACTTACCCGTGCAAGAATTTGAATGTATCACGACAAATTTGTTGACCTTCGAGCATGAATGTTGTTCCTTGACTCGTGTCTGTGCTTTCTTCTTTGTACTTTCAGTCATGTCTGAGAGATTGATTTTGATTGAAAGCTTTCCGAAATGGATAAGCATTTGATACCCTAAAATAAACAAAGTAGAAGTTATATAGAATACAGATTG